GTTTATGTTATAATAAACCTTTCGGGTTAAGTTGCAGCAAACAGGTTTTTCTTGTGAATTTGGTCTTAAATTTTTATTTCTAGTGGCATTAAAAAGTCTTAAAAAGACTTGAATTTAACTTGCCTTATGCTGTAGGAACCCTGCATGAGATAAGCGGGGTTGTCACAAAACCAAAGTTTCAAACTCAACCTAGATAATCTATACTGTCTACCATTAAAGATAAAAAAAAAAAAATCACAAATATGTAAAGATCCATCCATTTTCTGACCCGCTTTATCCCAAACAGAAAAGGGGTGCTGTTCCATTTTTGTCAACAGGAAAACCTCACTTTATTTCAATTTTGACAAGTGACATTCTTTCTTAGGAGCATAGGCTGATTACATAACTGAGCAAATAAATGCAGAATAAATAACTCAAATCTATCATAATGTGACAATATTTTATGCTCGTTTTATCCAGAAATCTTAACTATAGCAAACATGCAAACACTCATTTTTGTTATAAATGCCATACTGAAATGAATATTGTATCCGGATTTAGTGTTAGTGTATTGATACTTTTTTGAAGTATCAACTTTTGACAACCCTAGATTTGAGACAGGAGTTAGTACCTGAGGTAAAGAAAAAATAGATTATGATTAACCTCTTAGTAAGAATGGTATTTACATTGCTAAAATGAAAATAATGTACAATAATTTGTGCTTTATCAAATACCTTTATCATGTTATTCTCTGTCTGCCATGCAGACACTAGCTCTTGCCTTGCCCTGTCGGCGCCTACCTAATGTATAATACATTTTTTTTTAGGTCCCCATTTCAGAGTGGTCCTGGCCTGGCAAGCCGCCTGTGCAAAGCAGCAATGCTGCACCGCTTCAGGTTGGTGGCCAAAGAGGCCCAGAGACAGGAGCTTGTCACCACAAACTGCTACAGAGAATTAAAGGTAACCTATTTACACTTCCGTGTTTCCCCTACAGCCTTGCCACTAAGAAGAAGTAGTTTTTCTTTTCTTTTTACTATTATCAACCTGAATTATGTCAGTTTAGTAAATGGAATAGAGATGCTAAAGCTTAAAGGAATAGTAGACCCAAAACATGATTAGCCTTCATTTTCTACTCACCCCCATGCTGAACAAC